TATATATATATATATGTGTGTGTGTGTGTGTGTGTGTGTGTGTGTGTGTGTGTGTGTGTGTATACATATACATGTATATATATTAAATCAAATCATAATTGTTACATATTCTCATCTTTTGTTATATCTGTATTCCATCAATTTTGACTCTTATAGATGTACCCATCTTTTGCTCTATTATCTTATCAACAAATGCCATGAAATACCTTTGGGTGAGGGTGTCTTTGAATCCAAATGCAAGCCAAGAGCTCAAACAATCACATTTCGGCTGTTGGCTCATCTTCCAGAGCACAACTGTGTCTCCCTGTGGGAATTCTAATCAGATGGCATGACCATGGACTCTCTTGTCCCTTCATCTAAGACACTTTTCAGCCCAAGAAGTTTAAAAACACTCACATGAAACAGAAAAGGAAAACAATGATTTCTTATTTTTCAGCTCACTTAACAAAATGATTGTCTAAATCTGCTGGGATAAAATATCATTTTGTTAAGGAAAGTAGAAAAAAAGATGTCTAGGCCAGGTTGGGAAGGAAGGCTCACTTAATACAGAGACAGAAGGCCCTGAGGTTCAATCCACAATATTGAATGAATAAAACCAAAACTGGTGGTACATTCCTATAATCCCAGCACTTGAAAGGTAAAGGTAGGAAGATCAGAAGTTCAAGGTCAGCCTTAGGGACATAATGAGTTTGAGGCTAGCTTAGGATACAAAAACCCTTGTCTCAAAAAAAAAAAAAAAGTAAGGTACTATTACAGTGAAAGGAATGTATATAGTTGTATATACACACACACACCCATGTATACACCCCACATGCTTGAGTGTTCACATGCAGGTCATTGCACACATACATATAGAAAAGTAGAATGACTGAGGGGGACCATCTCTCTTCCACACACATGCACCCACGCATGTGAATATGAGAAGATACATACATACACACACATGCCTATGCAAAAGCAAAAGCAACAACAACAAACCACCCAGGACTTTCTCCAAGCAAGGCTAAGAGCTTGTCGTACTGAGGAAACAGCAGGAAGGCTTCCTACTGGACACATGGACTTGTCACACTATGTTATCCCCTACAGCAGTGGTTTCAACCTTCCTAATGTTGCGATCCTTTAACACAGTTCCTCGAGATGTGGCAACCCCCTCAACCATCAAATTATTTTTGTTGCTACTTCATAACTATAATTTTGCTACTGTTATGGATCACAATGTAAATACCTGATACCCAGGACATCAGATATGTGACCCCTGTGAAAGGGTTGTTTGACCCCTCCCCTAGCCCCAAAGGGGTCACGACCCACAGGCTGAGAACTACTGCCCTGTAGTTAGGCACTCTGCCTCAGACATTTTGATTTTTTGATTGTATGAAGAGTTACTGCTTCCTATTGCTTGGAATTTCTAGACCACAGTTTCCAGTTAGATTTTGATCAAATTTTACTACAATAGCCTCTTGGAAGGTTTTACCCCACATCCCCACAGGGTTCGTACAAAGCTCCTTTGTTCCCTGTTCATCTTCCCTCTCTTCTCTAGTCTTGTTTACTTATAGAATGGGGAACATCAAAGAACACGCAGTCACAGGTTGGTCTGATTTTTGCAAATAAGATGCACTTATATTCTATGTACTACCTAAAATAGACTAACCAGCAAATTCTCCTATAAGTGGTTTGAAAAAAGAAAGACCACCTGTGCGAGATACTTGGATACCAAGGCAGGTATTCAAGACCTTAGATATATCTGCAATCAGTAAAAAGTAATAATGACAAAATACTTACAACCCATATCACGACCAATCTTCTGGACAAATAAGGGTCGATATTCCAGTGGGTAAATGGGAGAAACGTGATGTAGAACACTTCCTGACCCAAAGCGGCTGAAAACCGGAACAGGTAATAGTAGAAATAATTCTTCACAACATGCTTCTCTCCAGAATCCTGAAAGACAAAGACCAGGAGTTTGGGAGTTCATTCAACATGTCTGGAAAAACCCTGCCCAAAACTCACCACCAAGGTGAGTCTCCTCCTGTCTCACTAAGATCAGCCTGTATCATCAACGGATATCAATCAAACCCACTTGTACACAGAAGCATAAGAGACATTAGTGGGTTTTGGTTGCTGTTGTTTTGGGATTTTGTTTGTTTGTCTTTGCAAGATTAAATATAAAGCATCAAAGGCAGAAGTACCAGAAGCTCTCCTCTCCCTCCATCCATACACACACACACACATACATCAAACCCAAGCCTCTATCTTGTATGCATAGAAGGCTAGAGACCTGGAGGAGATCCAAAAGTGAGCCAGTACCATATGGGTTCCTGATTTCAGATGGGAAAATGGTGCTTTTCCTAAAGATGTTCACTCATCCCATCCAAGTACCAACCAGACTTGACCCTGTTTAGCTTCTGAGGATAGATGAGAACAGACACAGTCAGGATGGTATAGTACAGACTCCATTCTGTAGTCTCTAGAACATGTGTCTATATCCCCTTACAGAGCAAAGGTGGCTTTGAAAACACAATTAGACAATGAAGTGAGGGTAGAGATGCTTTCCTGGACCTTCTGCATGGGCTCTGTGGTCAAAGGGATTCTTGACAAGATGCAGTGAAAGCGTAGCACCAAGTTTTTGACCTGTTTTCCAAGCTGAGAAGCCCACTTCCACCATTGGGCAAGTCTTTTCACTTTCTTAATAAACTTTCCCCATTTCTATTATTTAAGATAAAAAGGATGAAGGGGTTGGAAATGTCAGAATCAAAGACCAGGGTGAAGATAGTGCATGACTAGCTTTAATGATGCAGGAAGGGCCCACAGCAAAGGGTGTAAGGTGATTTGTTCTCCGAACACTTAAAGAAACAGACTTCTTTCTTGAGTCTCCAGAAGGAATTTGATGATCTTGGTAACAAGTTGATTTCAGTCAATAAATGTCCATTTTAGACTTCTAACTACCAGAGGTTTAAGAGAATAAGTTTCCATTGTTTTAAGCTACTAACTTAGGAATAAGCTGTTTTAATAGCAATAGGTAACTAACCTAGGGATAGCAGAAAAGGACTTGCCTCTACATCTTAGTTCGCTTTTTAAATAGGATTAATAGTCACACCACAGGGGTGATATAAGAAATATAGCTAGTACATGTAGGGAATGTCAAAATGTTCTCGAAATTTATCATCCCCTGTCTTTACCTTATCCTTGAATGCGGAGAAGGGGGAAGTGCCAGGACCAAGCAGACAATGCACTTAATACAATATGACTATTTGCTTTAATTGTCAACTTGACACAATTTAGACTATCAGGAAAGAGAATGTCAACCAGAAATATTCTACATTGGGCATGTCTGTATGGGTTGTCTTAATTAAGTTAACTGATGTGGGAAGACAAGACCACTGTGGGCAGCGCTATTCCCTAGGCAGAGAGTCCTGAACTGTCTAGGACTGGAGAAATAGAACCTAGCATAAGCAAGTATGTTTCCATTCATTCTCTCTGCTTGCAGCTTTGTCTTCACTTTGTACCCACATCAATGGACTGTAACCTAGATTTATAAGCTGAAATAAACCTTTTCCCACATATTCAATTTTTGTCATAGTATTTTGTCACAACAAGAAAGACGAAAGTAAAATACCATGGTAAACACTTTTATATGGCATATTAGTGACAAATTTAACAATAAAACATTTTACATTTTAAGTGAACCAAAAAATAAAATCTCTTATCTCTCTGTCTCTGTCACTCTCCCCTTTCTTTCCTCCCTCTCTGGAGACAGTTTCACTATGTATATAACTTCGGCTGGCCTGGAACTCTCTGTATCACAAGTTGCTTCAAACCTGACAATGATCTGCCTTGGTTTTCCATGTGCTAGGACTACAGGTGTGTGGCAGGCATGATGCCAGACGCAAACGCAGAACGCAGAATTTTAATGAGACTGAAAGTCATACACACTCTAAAACTGAAATGCAGACATTGAAAATAGGACGGAGGGGACAGCAGCAGACAGGCAGGCTTCCTAAAGACTTACAGGTCAGCAATTTTGTTTTGTTTTATGCCAAGTCAGAGGTCTTTGAATCCCCAGGGGAATACAAGGGGAAAAGTCATACATGTTTATTCTGGAGACATTCATTCTGTGCCTATATACAAGGCTACATTGTGACCCGGGGATATCCAGAGAGCAGGTGTGAGAGGAGCTCACATCTGCTGAGGGGCACTGTGGAGGACAATTTGTAGGAAATAGATTTTTAAAGGGCCAGTATTTTGGAGCCCTTGAAAACAGCCAACAATATTCTTGTATTTTAGGTGTTAAAATGAAGACAACCTTGAAATTGCACAGATATAGCTCTACTCAATATGACTGGCCCTCTTCCAGGTACACATCTCTCTCCTTTTCCTTTCTGAGAGGTTCTGGGTTTTAGTCCACTGTCTCAGCCTCCCCCAACAGCACCCTGTAACACAGAGTGAAAGTTTAATGCCTTTTGCATTAAGAGGAGAGTCTGGATTGACTAGAATCAGTCATTTTAGTTTGAGAATTCAGACTCAAGTCAAGGATTGCCCTAAGTATGGTTGTCGTACCAGTGTCGAATCCTATGTGTTAAAAGGAGAGTAGTCCTCACTCACAGGGATGAAATTTACTTCTAAATGAATTTGGAGAGAACAGCAGCAGAGCAACTCTACGCAAGAAAGCCAAAGATGCACAAAAGGAGTTTTTCAGGTGACATTTCTGGATATATAGTTAAATAACTTCACCACTAACGCCTTGGTTATAGGTACCCAAGTAAAGTGGTAGATGCTTATCTTCTTTCCAAAAAGACTCTAGTTTCCTACCTGGGGATATGGTTCAGCAGGTAAAGCATTTGTTGTGCAAACTGAGGAATTGAGTTGAGAGATCTCTAGAACCCATATAGAGCCAAACGTTTCACAACTGGCTTGTTTTGTGTTAACTCGACACATGCTAGAGTCATCAGACAGGAAGGAGCCTCAGTTGAGGAAATGCCTCCATGAGATCCAGCTGTAAGGCATTTTCTCAATTAGTGATCAGTGGGGGAGGGCCCAGCCCATTGTGGGTGGTGCTACCCCTGGGCTCTTGGTTCTGGGTTCTATGAGAAAGCAGGCTGAGCAACCCATGTGAGCAAGCCAGTAAGCAGCACCTCTCCATGGCCTCGGCCTCAGCTCCTGCTTCCAGATTCTTATCCTGTTTTAGTTCCTGTCCTGACTTTTTTTTGATGAGGAACAGTGATACAGAAGTATAAGTCAAATAAACCCTTTCCTCCCCAACTTGCCTTTTGGTCACTGTGTTCCGTTGCAGCAACAGAGACCCTAAGAAAATAAGCATCTGTAATGCCAGCACCTCTATGGCAAGATAGAAGGCTGAAACAGGAGACTCTTCAGAAACCCATGGGCCAGGGAACCTACAGTAATACAGCACTGAACAGCAAAGAAATGTCTCAAGGAAGATGGAAGGTGAAGGCAGACACTCAAGGCTGTCCTCTGACCTCACACAACCACACCATGGCACAGGTGTGGTCGCTCATTCACACATACGCAATTGTTTTATTTTTTTTTTATTTTTTTTATTTTTTTAAAGATTTATTTATTTATTATATATGAATACACTGTAGCTAGCAGTCTTCAGACACACCAGAAGAGGGCATCGAATCTCATTACGGATGGTTGTAAGCCACCATGTGGTTGCTGGGATTTGAACTCAGGACCTCTGAAAGAGCAGTCAGTGCTCTTAACCACTGAGCCATCTCTCCAGCCCCACGCAATTGTTTTAAATAGGAGTAGCCCTGGAAGGAGATCTCAGGGTATAGGGCTTCACTATAGCTTAGGAAAGAACCAGAGTTCCAATTCTCTGGTATATGTTGGTTTCCTCAGGAACCACTGGAGAGACAAGAACAAGTGTTAGAAATAGAGAATGAAGAGGAATGAGAGGAGGGGAATAAGGAAGAGAAAGGAGTCCTCACCCCAACCTCTACTTCCCTGTTCCCAGCTTGCTGCATGTAAGGGGCCTAATGGCCCATGTGCTGAACAGGGACATGCAGGGTGACAGAGAACACCCTGCATGTTCTCTGTTCTTAAAATATTGCGTGTGACTTCTTTTTGTCCTTGACATATGGCTTCTGTACTGCGATCTTTTTGCCGCTTCTGGTTCAATACACGTTATGACGTTTTCAGTTACTAAAACAAAGGACAAATGCTTTTCGGTTGCATATCATCTGCCACCCAGCTAAACAGGAAAGTCTGGCAAACAGGGTAATAAAGTGGAAATGACCCCGCAGGCGTTACTCCAGGCTGTGTAACGTCATCGGTTTTTAACATTTAAAGGATCTTACAGATTGATTGTGTTTTACTGGGGCATTTTGTTTTCCTGTGATCTCAGTTTTCTTATCACACCTCTCCTGTTTGGCTATGATTCTCCAAATGTACATTCTTCTACATCAGAGTTCCCATCATGTCTCTGGAGAGAAGCCGCGGCTGTGTGCAGGTAGTCCATCTTCTGCATGGCTGCTGTCACTGCTTGAATAATAAGAAAGCGACAGGAACCAGGCTGGCTGCCTGAGGAGACAGCCCGTGCCCAGTATGGACGGCTTCTTAACTCAGCTGTGTTCAGAGTATCTGAGCAGCGTCATCTTGTTTGCTAAACACAAACCCAGGAGTCCTAAATGCCAAGAATATCCACCCAGGTCAGCGTGGCTGAGTTTTAAGAAGGGCTGATCCAGACGGCAGAGAGGCAAATGCTCAGCAGACCTGGCAGCCAGCCCAGGCTTTCAGAGGAGAACACAAGAAATGGCTTTTAGTCAAAACAAAGTGTGACCTTGGGGAAGTCCATTTCCCTCTCTGACCTGTGCTGGCCTTGATTGGGAAGGATGTAAAGGACAGCGTAGATGGCTCAGTCATTTTATTTTTAAAGCATCTACCTCTGAGATGTGTCCCCTCACCATCGCTCTCAGACC